TTCTGACATATGGTGACCCTTTTTAAGGTTTTCTAGGTAGAGTACTCCGAAGTGGCTTATCATTCCCTTCTTCTGGGGTGTACCCTGGAACTGCGCAGCTTGCCCAAGGCCACACAGACTAGCTGTTCTGGGATGCCCATTGAGGAAATGAACTCCCAACTTCCAGCTCCATAGCCAGATACCTAACTCATTGAGCTATCCAGCTAGCTTCAAACTCCTGAGAAATATAGAAAGTTACCTTAGAGTGAGTCAGACTGCTGGTATCACATAGTATTAGATAAGTATATAATATTAGTTAAATTCCTTGTTCCTGTCCCAGTGAAGTCAGACCCTAAGAGATCCCTTGCTTCAAGGCTAGAGTAGAACAAATTGCTTCTCTTGAAGTCTCCGTAACTTTTGCAGATGGTTTTTGCGCAAAACTAGCATCTCAAAGAAAAGAAAAGCATGCACACAGAGCAAGCAAAGAATGACAGGCTGATTGTATGAGAAGATGAAAACGTCCCCTCTGAGGCTTCTAATCCATAAAACACCCTGCAGGAAAGCAGCAGGCACTGCCATTTTGCAAAGTTTTGTGTTACAACACTTAAGCAGAATGCTTTTTTTTTTAATTTATATTCCGCTAGCCACTAGATAGCTAGCCGCTAGATAGCTAGCCACTTAAGGCCACTTTGCTTTAGTCTTGTTAAAGTGTTGTTTGCACAACTTTAACCCATGCAACAACAAATCTCCTTTTCTTGTTGAGTGTGCCACAAAATGTCTTGTAGAATAAAGAGAGGAGTTCTGTAATTCTTAATCTTTGTGTATGAGAATATGACAGCCCTTCACATCCCTGCACAGGATTATTTACATTGACTGACAGTAGCTGCCTAGGTTTTGGACAGGAATCTTCTCCAGCACTTCTTGAAAAAGTCAGTGATTGAACATGGCTGCTTCTGTGTGCAGAGCATGGGTGCCATCCCCTGAGCTATGCGCCTGCCTCCAAAGTAGACCTAAAGGAACTACTTGGAACTTTTTACCTGGAAGTAAATGGAAGACATTGGGTTACAAAGAAGGCCACCTCAAGCTCTTGGGTCTTTACGTAAACATCAGCATCGTTCATCAGACTATAGGAAGCTTCTTGTACCAATTTTCAAAGAAGCAGCCCTTTTAGCTTGTTTCAGCACATTGGCCAATAAGGGGGAGGTGAGGTCAAAATAATGAAGCACTTTAAAGACTTTCAGTTTTTATTTCAGTGTGAGCTTTCATTAATCAACATCCAATTTCTCAGACCAAGCTCCCTTGGCAATAAAATGATTAGTTTTTAAAGTGCTCAATTATGTTCTCTTTTTTTACTTTTTTTATATACATATATAATACCAGTTAATCCATCAAACTCTCCTGTGTGCTTTTACTAATTCCGAACCTGCCATGTATTGAAATGTTCCTTTTCCCTGCAGGAGGTAGAGCTCCATGTTGTCCTGACAAAATCAGAAAAGGGTAGCCTTGGTTTCACCGTGACAAAAGGCAATGACAACGTGGGCTGTTACATCCATGACGTCATTCAAGATCCAGCCAAAAGTGATGGGAGATTGCGTCCTGGAGATCGTCTGATCAAGGTGAGGCGTCATTCAAATCCAGAGCCTGTAACCTGAGCAGAGTGGTAGCCCTGCCTCCACATTTGGGCAGAAGATAACCTCCTCCAGCCTGCTTGGACCATGAGTTTTTTTAAGGACACCTGTTTTGTTTTGTTTTGTTTTCCCTGACATCATACACCTCATACAGAAGAAAAGGTCTGAGAGGGAATCTTACTGCAGCCTTTATTTTATGTCCGTTTTACTTTGTATTATTGGATGTTATACAGTATTTATCATTTTACTTCTTGTACCATGATGACAATCACTCTCAGGGTCAAATCAGATGCTACAATTGACATATTTGCAGCAGAGATGCTCCTTCAAATGATGAAAGACATCATGTGGCATGTTTGTCTGAGCATCTTTCATTTAGCGTTCTTTGCTTTGTGATTGGTCACTGGAAGGTAAACATGAGCGTAATTTGCAAGTCTGATTGCTGAGATACATATCTCTGAAATAATCCCAGTTTGGGAGGGGAAATATGTAAATCATAGGGAATAGTCCTCTTAATATTTCATCCACTTTCTTACTGCTCTTCACCTCCACAGGTTAATGACACAGATGTCACTAACATGAGCCACACGGATGCGGTCAGTTTCCTCCGCGCAGCCCCAAAGACAGTCAGATTGGTGCTTGGACGTGTTCTGGAGTTACCCAAAATACCCATGATGCCACACCTACTGCCTGACATTAATCTAATCTGCCATCAAGAACAGCAACTGGGTAATGCAGGATTTCAGGACTGTTGCCACCAGAATAGAAGCTTCATTCATTACTGCAGAAGCATTATTCTTGTACTCCAAAAGTAGTAAATGAAGAGGGCATATAAAGAGGTATTCTTTTTCCCTTCCCCCCCCCCCAGGCATCTCCCTTGCAGGTGGTCATGACAGCCTTTATCAGGTGGTGTACATCAGTGATATCAGTCCCAAATCTGCGGCAGCCATGGAGGGGACACTCCGTCCTTTGGACATCATCCATTACATCAATGGGGTCAGCACTCAGGGGTTGACTTTGAAGGAAGCAAAGAGGACTCTGGAGATGTCCCTCCCGACAGTCATACTGAAAGGAACGAGGTATTTCCTAGGTGCAGCCACTTGCAGAGATGGCTATGTTCTGTAGCTGTCAGAGTGTTGAACTGGGACTTCTGTAACCCAAGTCCTAGTTCTCCCTGAACCATTCTAAGTAACCCTGGGCAAGTCGCCATCTGTCTCAATCTGACCTACCTCAAAGGACATTTACGAGAATTATGTGAGAAGGGAGACATGTGTCCTGTCTGAAGCTCACAGAATGGGTTGCCTGTGTCAGACATCTCTTATTGTAGAAAGGCCCCTTCCCCTCTCTCTTGGAGTCCTTAAATGGAATCCCCATATCCTTTCAGAAGTGATACAGCCTGGTAATAATTCTTCACATTCTCCAGGAACTTTTCTTAGTTATATTTAGGACATATTTTTAAAAAGCTTTGATCAACAGAGATCAGAAATTTTGTAGGACCTTTTCTCAGTAGATGATTTGGTGAAACATTGTACTTGCTCTCACCATATATAATGGGTGAAGTCTTGGTACACTTTGTGTAGCCTAAAGTTATGCTTGTAGAATTTCACAGGAAGTTTCACCCAGCCAGTCATTATGTCTGAGTGTACATTTGACTGATCACACAAATAGCATCTGTGGAATGTCTTCCTTGATTAGACTTCTGTCTAGATGCAAGTTTACAATGAATCACCCAGTGTCATGTTATGCAGGCATAGTTATGCAACAGGATTTCAGCCAGTAATGTCTGTTTCTGTGAGATAAAATGTGTTCTGAATCCTTTGTATAAATCTAACACAGAGTATTGTCTTATTCCAGAGATGGTCATCCAGTGTTCCCGAAGGCTAAAGATCCAGATAGCTGTACTCTGGGGTTGATCAAACATAATGGTAAGGATGCAGCTCTATATAGTTGACTCTAGTGTAGGCATCCTTCAGTCTTGAGAGACTATGGTAATGTGCTTTAAATAGAGGTCCTGGAACAGCATCTAGAGTGGCTGAGAAGGCCAATTTGAGAATGACAATCCTTTCCACACTGAAGACAAATACAATCTGCCCCCTGTCCAGCTCCCTGATTTTGCTGGTTTCAGGACTGCTGCTTTGGCTTGGCCTGCTGAACAAGGGTCTCTTCAAATTGGGAGAGGCCATGCGGTACCACCTGCCTCCAGGCTGAGCGCTCAGATATCAAGGTTTCCCATCTGTTGAGATCCATTCCTAAGGCCTTCAGATCCCACTTACAGATATCTTTGTATCGCAGCTATGGTCTCCCTCTGGGGTGCTTTCCCTGCACTAATTTTCCATATAGGAGATCTTTTGGAATCTGACTATCAGCCATTCTCACTACATGCCCAAGCCAACGTAGACGTCATTGTTTCAGTAATGTATTCATGCTGAAAATTCCAGCCCGTTCTAGGACTACTCTGTTTGGAATTTTGTCCTGCCAGGTGATACCAAAAATGCATCGGAGACAACGCATATGGAACATGTTCAACTTCCTCTCCTGCCATGCACAAAGGTCCAGGACTCACTGCAGTACAGGAGTGTACTCAGGACACAGGCTCTTTAGACCTGGATCTTTTATGCCATCAGCTTCTTATTAAGCCATACTCTCTTTGTGAGTCTAGAGAACATGTTAGCTGCTTTTGCCAATGTGTTTATCCAGCTCGACATCTAGAGAGTGTGTGTCAGAGATTGTTGAGCCAAGGTACACGAAATCATGAACAACCTCCGTGTTTTCTATAGAGATGGTAATAGAAGCAGGTGAATCCACGCCCTGGCCCATGACTTGTGTTTTCTTCAGACTGATTGTTAATTCAAAGTCTTGGCAGGCCTTGCTAAAACGATTCATGAGTTGTTGGAGGTCTTCAACAGAATGGGCGACAACAGCTGCATCATCAGCGAAGAGGAAGTCCCGCATGCATTTCAGCTGGACTTTGGTCTTCGCTCTCAATCTAGAGAGATTAAAGAGCTTTCCATCTGATCTAGTCTGGAGATAGACACCTTCGGTTGCAGTTCCAAAAGTGTGCTTCAGCATGACAGCAAAAAAGATCCCAAACAATTGGCGTGAGGACACAGCCCTGTTTCACTCTGCTTCACATGTCAAAGGGATCAGATGTTGAGCCTTTAAAAACTACAGTGCCCTTCATTTCCTCATGAAAGGACCTGATGATGTTAAGGAGTATCCTTAAGGTGACTCCTTGGCTTTAGTAAGAACAGAAAAAGATCCATGCTGTATCAGACTGCAAGTCTCTCTTCTCCACCAGTCTATTCACACATTGGGGAACCAGTTGACTTTGGGAATGCATTCTAAGCAGGGTGTGAGTGTATCAGCACCTTGATTTTGCTTTTCAGCCATTGATGCATAGAGGCATACTGTCTGTGGTGCTAGGGAAGGTAGATGGCTATATTGACCATTAATAGCTCTAACATTCATTAATTTATATAATCCCAAAGCCTTCAAGTTGGCAATCTTCACTATATCTTGTAACAGTTTTAAACTATGTGCTGTATAATAGCTAACTGTATGGGCTCAGACACAAGAAACAATGACTTAACATTTTCTAATGTTATGGATAGTTTCTCACAGTGTTATCCAGCTGAATTTAATTTGCACTTATTTGCTAATGGGCAGACGTCAATAAACCTTGGATCAAGGAAGGGAGCCTGTAATGTCCTAAAGATTGGAAAGGAGGAAAGGAATTCATCTTTTCATCACAGCTCTGTTGTGTTAGGAAACATAAAGGCGCAGAGGAGTTTTACTGACAAATAACCTGACCTCTCTGGTTTTTAGGCCATTTTCATGGAGAACTGTATGGCAAAACAGAAATAGGGCAGGATGCTTGCATGGCCAAGGTAAGAACCTGGGAACAGTCAGATTATACCCATACTTGTGGCTGCAGCGGGAAATAGTTATGTAACATAATGTGTCTGTTTAAATGGGAACAATTTGGCATGTGGTAGATAGTGTAGGAGACTTTAGTTTGTCAACATCTGGGACGTGGGACTCACCAAGAGTTTCAGCCTAGCAACCTGGGACCATCCTAAAGAACTCTTGTATTTGGTGAATAGAGACATGGAATAAAGTGGTGGAACCTATATACAGTGGAGCCCCGCTAGACGATTACCTCGCAAAACGATTAATTTGCTAGACGATGAATTTTTGTGATCGCTATAGCACTTCGCAAAACGGGGTTTCCTATGGGCGATTTTCGCTGGACAATGTGTTCAGACCGTGCTTCGCAGGACTTTTTTTCGTGATCAATTTTTGCAATACGATGATTTTGACAGCTGAGTCCACGACTCACAAAATGGGTGTTTTCGGGACCGTTTTTCGCAAGACAGCTATTTTTACAGCTGATCCGCGCTTCGCAAAACAGTTTCTCTCTGGGTGATTTTCACAAAACAACGACAAATTTTCCCCGTTGGAACGCATTAAATGGATTTCAATGCATTCCAGTGGGAACTGCATTTCGCAAGATGATGTTTTCACAAGACAGCGATTTTCGCTGAACGAATTAACATTGTCTTGCAGGGCACCACTGTATTGTCTGGGCCAGTAGGATGAGATTGGCCATTGCACTAGCTCTGTGCTCTCATCGTTCAAGTCACAAGGCAGGAGGAGAGAGGGATGAACACCCTTACTTGGGCCATGGACTTCTAGTGGATGGTAGAACTTCCATGACCCACTTATTGATTCATTCTTCCTACTGAAGACCCAGTGACAAAGCATATCCATAGTGACCCACAACCTGATGGATGTAAGCCCAGCCTAGGCTTTGGTTGTGAGAAGAATAAATGTACATATTTTTTGTTTTTGTTAGGTGAATGGTGAAACAAACGACAACCATCAATCAAAAGGACCAGCACAGATCACTGTATCTAAGGAGATGTCTCTAAGTAATTCTAATAGCCAAACTTCCGATTTTTCCAGCTATAATAACAACTTGGGTAAGAATAACAGTCTTACTACAGCTTTTAGAAGTGTGGTGGAACAAAAATAATGTGAGGAACAGACAGTTTGGGGGGGTTCCTTGTTGTTTTTTGCTTGTGTAATGCCTTCGTATTCTGCATTGTATTGGCTGTCTTACAGTATTGATCAATATGGTTACCTTGTAATTACTCTGGTTGTTGGTTCACTTCATTTTATATGATGCTTTGAAACAAGATGGGAAATGTGTGACCTCAGTTGCTGCTGAATTCCAGTTTCTATCAGCCCCAACCAGCCTAGCTAGTGATAAGGTATGATGGATATAGTTGTTCATCATCACCATCAAGAATGGTTCCTGTAATCCCTGTAACTTTTAGAGGATGTCAGTTATGAAATTTCTGTAGAAAACGGTCAGATGTTTTAACTTACAAGAGATTTCTGAACTTACAATAATTTGCGTCTAAGTGTTACGCCTTGTGCAGAAGAATTTTGGCTATTTAATACATTTGCTCAATTGTACTAAATTTAGTACAATTACTGTTATCTGTGATTATTTTATTTAAAGCAGAGATACAAGATGAAGATTCTTATGACGAGGATGATCACAATGAAGTCATTCGGTATCTTCTGGATGTGGTAGATGAAGAAGCTCAGAATTTATTAAACCGTAGTAATGCTGCATCTGGGACCCACCTGCCAGGTACAGTTAAGTAAATTATCAGAAAATCTTACACGAAGGCAAAAAAACAAAACAAAAACCATACAACTCTAACAGAGACCATTTCAGAATTGATGTCATTTTGCAAGATGAATTTTTATAAAGGCTACAGCAAATTTGTTTAGTGTGTTACATATGGTGCATGGTGCTAATTTGGTTTGCATATCCATTAACTTCAAGGACTAACTTTCTCTCTAAAATCACTGACAAGAGATACATTGTTTGAAGTGAAAGTGATATGTTCACGAATTTCTTCATCTATGTCAGCTGTGGACCTCTTTATACTATTGTGTCAGCTTGTAAAGCTTCAGGCTCCAAACTGGAGGCTTTGTTTAAGAATAGACAGGGAACCAAGCACTGGCAAGGGAGCGTGTTTGAAGTGTTGTGTAAATTTTGCAAAATTGTATACAACTATCCATGAAAAAAAGGCCTCTGTGGCCAAGGATTTCTTCCTGCTCCCTTCCCTTCTGTATTTTTAACTGGACACTTAAGTCTCATGTGCTTCAATAGCATTTTGTAGTGAATGCCCCCCTTGCCCCACTGGATTGAAAAGAAAACTGTGGATTTAATAAGCCATTACATGAATAGAAATACCAAACAGGATATTGGCTGCTGGTTTTAGTGGGACTAGACCAGAGGTCTCTGAACATTTCACTGTGAGGGCCACATAATATAATGGGACTAGACCACAGGTCTCTGAACAGTTCACTGTGAGGGCCACATAATATATTTTCCACCTTTTTGAGGGCCAAAGGAACACACACACACGCTTACGCACGCCCACACAGGCCTGCGCACCTGAGCCTGTGACTTTCGCCAGGCCGGATGTGACCCATGGGCCATAGTTTGGAGACCTCTGGACTAGACCAGATTCAGCCCTCTGAAATAAATAAATACCTATATATTTGAGATCCTCAAGGTTATCCTTGAGATAGGAAGCACCCCCTGTCCCAGTGATCAGGTTTCCAGGGTCACCCTGAGGGATTATGTGACTCAGAGCAAGTGTAACATTGAAGGTTGCACTGGTGCCCCATACAAGCACCCACATATGTCTGTACAAATTTTGTCTTTCTTACTTTCACTTACTACAAATGACCTGAAACAAGAAACTGAAGAAAAACATACTTTAAAGCTAATCAGAGGAAGAACATCTTTGTCACTACAGCTCAAACATACCCACACACTTTGTGAAAGGGGCTACAGACGTTGGCTTTTTGCCACCCTAACCCTCTGAATGGTCACCACAGTCAGTGCATTCAAAAAATACCACTGCCGAGCTCAGCGTATTGGTCCCCCAAGACCTTCTGATAAATGTACATGCTATTGTCGCCTATTGACATAAGTTGGCAGTGTGTAAATTAAAACCTATTAGTAACTCTTTTGATATTGATGTTTCCTTGCATTGCATTTTCCCCTCCTATAAAAGCAAATGGGAAACTTACTGAAGAGAAATCAGAAGACACAGATTGTGATGGATCGTCATTGCCTGAAGATTTTCCAGAGGTAAAACGCATGTAGTGACTGATGATCGTAGCATTGCTATCATTTCTAAAGAGATCACTATGAAATTTCTTACATTCTCTGGTTCTTCCCTGTACTCTCCTTTTTCCTGAAATGTTCTCACCCTACTGCTATCCTATTCATTTAAGAGCAAAATAATGATCTACCCATCTACAGCCAAGTTTTCCTTCTCCCATCCCAACCAACCTTCTGCTTTCCGATGGGACAGTCTTTTCAGGTCTATCCCACAAAGGTAAAAAAAATGCACTAGGATAGATTTTAATTGATGGCCCTGAACAAGGCCTGTAGGCATCCTTCAGTCTCAAGAGACTATGGTAACATGCTCTGAATAGAGGTCTTGGAACAGCATCTAGTGTGGCTGAGAAGGCCAATTCGAGAGTGACAGTCCTTTCCACACTGAAGAAAAATATTAGCTGCCTTCCAGTGCTGCTTTGTTTGAGACATGCTTGTTCTTCTAAAAGCAATCAGTTCTGGAAAGGCAGGAATATCTGTTCTTAGACAAAAGTCCTACCATCACCATCTCCATATTCAAATGGTATTGTTATGTTTTATAATTGATTGCAGACTCTTTTAATCCTTTCTCCGCTGTAGCCACCCCAGATAAACGGCTGTGAAGATCACTCTGATGATAAAAGGATTTCTGAAAGGTGAGGTCATTTCCCGGAGATGTATAAAAGAACTGGTAATCCTGAGTTTAATACTCAGTGGCTACACAGTGACCTTTGGCTAGAAACTAAAATCCTAGAGGCACTTTCCCCCCTAAGATTGAGGGACAGTTTCACTAGTGAGCTCAAATAAGGAGCTAAGCAGAAAGAGATCAGTAAAAACTGGAAATGGAATGTTATAACCTGTTGGGGCAAAGGTCCTTTTAGAAGGAGTTCTGAAAGAGTTGAAACCAGAGGTGGAGAAAAGGAAGTCCCCAACATCCCTGGTGGCCCCCAGTACCTTCCCAAAATATAATTTCTTTTTTTAAAAAAATAGTGGAACCACTTGTGTCATTGTGGGAGGCAATTTTGCCATCTTTTGGGGATCCCAGTACCCTTATCTTAACACTTTTTTTTGTAGATTTAAAAAATTGACCACTAGAAGGCATGAGTGGACTTTCTCAGTTAAAGAAGGTGTTTTAAAGAAAAAAAATCTGGATAGGAAACTCAAGATGGAAATGGTTGAAGCTCTTCCAAATCCAGGAGTGGACAGATGTGGCCACCTCTACTCTGGGCAATGGTGAACTTGGTTGGGGAGGTCCGACTCCAGAGGAGCAAACTGAAGCACATGTATGTTCCCACTGTGTGCTCGGACTACCAACCACCTCTAATCTAAGAGTTCCAACATGTGAGACATTGTGATGATTCACCTTGACTGCCAAAGTACCCAAGGCCAGCCTCTCCCTTGATTTCAACCATTTTTACTCCCTTCACAAGATTAAGCCAATTTCATTATATGAAAATACCATTATAAACCAGTCTCCTGTAGCTTATTTCAGCAATCTTTGCCTCTGGTGATCCACTCAGTTCTATGGTGGAAGCTTTGTTCCCTTAGATGTTCAGTTATTTACCTAATGACTGCCATCAAAAATTTAATATTTAAGGTATGTGCGTGTGTTTTTAACATCAGTGACCATAGCCTGTAACAGACTGTGGCCTCTGTATGTGAAGTTATTTTATGCTTGGGATTTAAAGGGCACTTGTTCCTTTTCAGATTTTAGAAATGAAAATGTAGGATATTTTGGCTTTTCTTATAGAACCAGCAAGTAACATGATGAGTTTATACTTTTATTTCATGTGTCTTCTTGTGGAGATGAACCTTCAGTTGCAGATTTTTCTTTGTTTTGACACAGAATGTCAAATAAGATGACCATCAAAATGTAAACAAGAATTAGCTACATAATGAAAATGATATTGAGAATTAGCTTCTTTAAATAAAATGTTTTGATTAAGAAGGTTTTGTTTTAGAGTGCATCATTTCATATGTTTTTCTCTCAGTATTTATTTTTTTGTCTTTACCAAAGATGGGGGGGTCACTTTTTTTGTCTTTTAAGGAGGTGTTTGTCTTTTTAAGATTGCCACATCAATTTTCAATGGATCACGGAGATGACGACGAAATTACGTGGGGAAGTGACGAATTGCCAATTGAATCACTAAACCATCAGCAGCCTTTTAAAGGTGAGCAATTATTGGAATCTCCTTTCTGTAGATAAGAAACAAATCCAGACATATATACTTTAGTGACCACCTCAGCCGACTCTTGGTGTAGCTGTGCAGATAGGATCAACCTTGATTGCTAGTGAAAGGGGTCATTGGGGAACCCTCAGAGGCAGAGGGTGAGTTTAGCTTCCACTCCCATTGTGTCCTTGAGGGCACACTTTTCTTTTTTATTTTTTTTTATTTTTTTTGTGTGTGTGTGTTTAAGCTGCGGATTAAACTGCTGAAGCTATGCTTAAACCTCTGTGCTGCAAGGTCAGAAGACCTGCATTCGTAAGATTGAATCCATGCCCCAGCTCCTGCCAAACTAGTGGTTCGAAAGCGTGCAAAAATGTGAGTAGATAAATAGGTACCACCTCGGCGGGAAGGTAAACTGCGTTCCGTGTCTAGTCACGCTGGCCACGTGACCACGGAGGATTATCTGCCTACAAACGCTAGCTCTATGGGTTGGAAATGGAGATGAGCACCGCCACCTAGAGTCGGATACTACTGGATGAAAAATTGTCAAGGGGAACCTTTACCTAAACTGAGTCAGGCATCTAGTCCAATGTTGTCTACTCTGAGTGGCAGACACTCTCTCAGGGACTCAGGCAGAGCAGTCCTTTCCACCTGAGTCTTCTTACTAGAGGTATCAGTGGCTGAATGTCTAATCATAGATTAAGCACTTCCAAGGCCACTGAGTCCAACTTTCCTGCTCAAGGCAGAAATCCAGAGCAAAGCAGATCTGACAGATAGTTGTCCAATTTTCTCTTGAACGCCTCCAGCGCTGGAGCACTCACCACCTCCTGAGGTAACTGGATTCGTTGTCGTACTACTCTAACAGTTAACAATTTTTTCCTTCTATTCAGCCAAAATTTGGGTTCCTTAACTTGATTCTATGATCAACTAACGCTTCTCCTGGATTTCAGTGGAATTTGATCATAGTCAGTTTTTGTAGGGTGCGAGTCAAGAATTTCTTAGCAGTCTCTAGGCACCAGTTTTCAAAACTGCAGTTTGTTATCTCACCTAACTTCTCTACCATCTGGCATTAAAAGATAAGACACATGTGAACATCCCAATTGGCTCAAACCAAAGGCCTACCACATTTCAAAATGAGAGCCACAAATGACCTCCTTTCCTCACATACCTAAGATCATATATAGCCAGTGGGGTACACTTTGCACACCTTTGGCCTGTCTAATCTCATGCCCTGTTCCCACCAGATGCAGTCCAGATACAGGATATGAGTGCAACAGCACTCCTCTGCTCATGCCCCCACCCCAGGAACTGGTTTTCTGAGTCATATGGCTTCTCATCCTGAAGATAATTTATAGCCATCATGGCTGGTGGACATTGACAGCTTTAGTCTCCCTGAATTTATCTGATCTCTTTAGAAGCCCTTCAGGTTGGTGACTGTCATTAGGTTTTATGACAGCGCATTTCATGGTTCAGCAACGTGATGTGTCAAGAAGTAATTCCCTTTTCGTCTGTCCTGAATCTTCACTATTTGGCTTAAATGGGTGCTTCCTAACCTTGGGTAACCCAATATGTTCTTCGACTGCAATTCTCAGGCGCCTTCGCTACCAACTGTGCTGGCTGGAGTATCTGGGAAATACCCAAGTTGGGAATCACCAGCTTAATGAATGGCTCTGAGTTCTAGTACTATGAGAAAAGGAGGGAAATGGTTGAACTGTGTTCCTTGTGCATGGAAAATAGTGACACAGATTGGTTGTTCTATTTGTTTTCATTCAGTGAAAACATACTAATGCTGATTCATTCAGTTTGAATCGGCATTAGTACAAAACTGGGGGAAACAAGGTATTGTTGTTAGCAAATGATAAAGCATGAAGGATAGAGTGATAATGAGAGGAGAAACAGGTTACTAGGCATTTTATTTATGGGGAGCCTTTACAAAAGCTGTAATCCTAATATGTTTCCATCAGGCACTGACAATTTGGAACACAGTGCAAGCTACCATGTAGGTATCCACTATTATATTTCATGGGCTAGGCCCCTGCAAAGTAGGCTGCCCTCTTATGTAGCATTTTATAGAGATCAATAAATCCATCTCTTTTCTGTGCCAGATTGCCCGTTAGTCACAAGTGAAGAATTTGCTGCGTTTCCGGTCGTCCAAGTGCTTCCTTCAGGCAGATACACCGGGTCTAAACTGAAGGCGACTATACGGATGCTTCGGGGCCTATTGGAGCAAGGAATTCCTTCTAAAGAAATTGAGGTGAGCGAATGAATCTTCTTGTTGGCGGCGCTCAGACTCAGCCGGTACTAGGAAGAAGCGTGGGGTTCGCATCTCCAGTGCTGAGGAGACTGGAAACATGGATTTCCCTTCGCTTTGGTACTCAGTGGACCTGCAAACAGCTGGTGAGCTGAATGCTGCCTCCATTACCCTTTCTGCCAGGCTTCGAGTTGGCATTCTGCTTGGCAATTTCTTTATATGTCTATTTGATGTTTTGCTTATTTGTTCTTAATTTTATTTAAATACTGTTTCAAGATGATGGGCATGTAACTGTGTGATTGGAGCCAGGTTCATTCAGTCAGTGCTGAGCACCACCTTCTTCAGCAGACAACTGGAAGATTTGCTTAATTTGTTTCATTCATTATCATGTCATTGTTTTTATGGATAGTGAAAATATTTAATTGATTACAATAGTCATTGCACCGACTTTTGTTTTATCTTACTTCATCTACATAGCTCAGAATAGCACCCATATGTACGTTTTATAGTCATTGCACCAACTTTTGTTTTATCTTATTTCATCTACATACGTAGCTCAGAATAGCACCCATATGTACGTTTTGGCAAATTTATCTTTATTTAGGCACATTTAATTTATTTAGTTCATATTGCTTCAGAGACCAATTACCCACTAAAAATTCTTTGATCGGCTGATAAAATCTAGTAACAATTTGTTGACAAATGCAGTCATTTTGATGATGGATACTCTTGGGTCTGAAGACAGTTTGGAGTCCGATCAGGAGAAACAGCTTGAAATCAGTGGGATTTACATAAGTGTTGCCCCTGCAATTCAAAAATTAATCCAGTGTGCCTACTCTGGTTTAGCAATAGGATTTAGGCCTTAGTGGGTGGGTAGATACTTTCCTCAGCCTATTCATTTCCAAATATGTTACAATTAGGTGGTTTGTTATTCATACTATTAACTAACTACCTTCTCCCCTTTAAAAAAATGTCCTGTTTATTTCAGAATCTTCATGACTTAAAGCCTTTGGATCAGTGTTTGGTGGGTCAAACAAAAGAAAACCGGAAGAAGAATAGATATAAAAATATACTGCCCTGTAAGTCAAGAGAAGTCTTGATTTCCAAAAAGTCTGTTATAATTTAATGCATCTGGTCTGGTTTGAAGAAGTGGACTTGTCCATGAAAGCTTGCATTAAAATATAGCAGTTAATGTTTAAGGTGCCACAATATTTTGGTCTTCTTTATTTTTTCATTTGTCTTTGCCTGACTTGCTAGCATAGACCAACACGGCCACCTCTTCTAAAACTCCTTTCCGCAGTTTGTCATTGTGTTCAGAGCTATGTTGAGGGAGAAATGAAATTATGTAATTGAATATAGGTAAAAGGTTCCCCTTGACAATTTGTCCAGTCGTGTCCAACTCTAGGCAGCGGTGCTCATCTCCGTTTCCAAGCCATAGAGCTAGCGTTTGTCCACAGACAGTCCTCTGTGGTCATGTGGCCAGCACAACTAGACACGGAACGCCGTTTACCTTCCCACCATGGTGGTACCTATTGATCTACTCGCATTTTTACATGCTTTCAAACCACTAGGTTGGCAGGAGCTGGGACAAGCGACAGGGGCTCACTCCGTCACGTGGATTCGATCTTACGACTGCAGGTCTTCTGACCTTGCAGCACAGAGGCTTCAGCTGTTTAACCTGCAGTGCCACCACGTCCCTTTTGTAATTGAATATAGTTATCTTTAATCTTGTGACAGAAGATGTTAACATGGCTCCCTTTCCCATGAATTGGGTTGTGCCTAATCCCGTGACTAAACCTAAGAATAATGAATTTAAATAATTGCATATTTTTCACATTTCAATAGCCCTTTGGGTCGTTTGCTGCTTTGATCTATAAGCTGCCCAAGCTTAGCTTCTTTTATGTTTGAAAGCTCCATGCACATGGATGACACTGTAATGACAAAGTTGAGGAACCCAGTGGAGTGGTTAGAACATTGGACTAGACTTCAAGAGACCTGGAATCACATCCTTACTTAGCCACAAAACTCCCTGTGCTGGTCATATGTTTTACATAATTATTCTGGGGATAAACTGAGCTGGAAGAGAACTGACTACATTGCCCTGTGGTTGCTGAAAGAGGGGCAGGCTATAATTGTAACAAATAATGAAACTAACAACGGCAATAAGGATGACAAACTGTCTGGTTCTTCTTACAGATGACACCACAAGGGTGCCTCTGGGGACCGAAGGTGGTTACATCAATGCCAGCTTTATCCGGATGCCAGTGGGGAGTAAGGAATACGTTTATATTGCATGTCAAGGGCCCCTCCCAACTACTGTGGCAGACTTCTGGCAAATGGCTTGGGAACAAAACTGCACTGTCATAGCCATGATGACCCAGGAAGTAGAAGGAGAAAAGGTCAAATGTCAGCGGTACTGGCCCGATGCTCTTGGCAAAACCACAATGGTCACGGAGAGACTCCGGTTGTCTTTTGAGAGGCTGCAGCAGCTCAAAGGGTTTGTCATCAGAATCCTGGAGCTGGAAGATATTCAGGTAAGCAAAAAAAAAAAAAGCATCCCACTTAAACACTTCGTAGCTGGCTGGATAGCTCAGTGGCTCAGGTAGCGCCAGAGGCTGGGAGTTCATTCCCCATTGTCTATCCCAGAAAGTACCGCCTGTGTAGCCGTGGGCAAGCTGCAAGGTCTGGAATGCCCCCAGAAAGAGGGATTAGCAAATCACTTCTGTGTATCCTTTACCTAGAAACACCTGAAAAGGGTTGCCATAAGTCAGAATTGACTTGATGGCATACAGTTATTACTACAGTGGTGCCGCGCTTAACAACGTTAATTCGTTCCAGCGAAATCACTGTGGAGCGAAAACGTCATAAAGCGAAAATAAAAAATCCTTTGAAACGCATTAAAACCCGATTAATGCGTTCCAATGGGCAAAAAACTCACCGTCCAGCGAAGATCCTCCATACAGCGGCCATGGTCAGTGCCTGTATAGCGAAGAATAGTCCATAAGCACAGCGGGGAGCCATTTTGAGCACCTGACGGCCATTTCGAAAACCCGACGATCAGCTGTTTAGATCGTTGTAATGCGAAGAATCGGTTCCCGAAGCAGGGAACCGATCTTCGCAAAGCGGAAAAAAAACATTTAAAACATCGCCGTAAAGCGGATTCGTCGTAATGTGGGGCAGTCGTTAAGCGGGGCACGATTATATTATTAACGCTTTGTGAGAGAGCATGGTTGAGAGAAGAGAATGCAAAAAAGTGGTTCTGTAATCATGGGTTTTGCATAGACCGGAGGGTGTGGATGGGTGTATTGTATTGGATGGCTTGATGGTCCTCTGCCCCTCTGGATGGTGGTGTGATATCAGAGTAGTTTTTGTAGTAGACCTTTCGGTACAGGCACCAAATGTTCTGCCTTAGCTCTCACCGTTGGCTCTTTGCTTTGGCATTTGTGTTATGTTGTATGGGACCATGGGCAGAAGGGGGCTGCTCTAGACATTTAGACCACTGTCCAGCTCAGCAGAGAGGACTTGGCATCTATGAAACATCCAGACTCAGGACAGCCACAATCAGATCTTAGAAAAGTTACTTTTGGGGACCGTAGCTCTCAGAGTACTCCCAACCAACACAGCTCTTGGCTGGGCTAGGTAACATGAGAGGAGTTGTTCCAAAAAAAGTAACTTTTCCAAGCTCTGCACAAAATCTTCCTAGTTAGGGCATCTCTCCCCCCCCCACACACACACACACACTTTCCCCCTCTCTGAGAAATAAAGTTAACACCATTCAGATGTGAAAAAGAAACGGAGAAAACTGAGGGTCAGGATAACTGTGGACCGGATTTTAAAACTGCTTATGGGGCTGCCTGGAGCCCATGCCGGATTTGGTTAGAGAGCTGGAACCCTTCTCAAGAGCTTTAATTCTGACTTCTTTATTTATTTGAAATCTAGACAGGTGAACTCCGGCATATTTCCCACCTAAACTTTACTGCCTGGCCTGACCACGACACACCCTCCCAGCCAGATGATTTGCTCACTTTTATATCCTACATGAGGCACATCCACAAATCAGGACCGATCATTACTCATTGCAGTGCAGGCATTGGACGATCAGGGACACTCATTTGCATAGATGTGGTTTTGGGACTGATCCGCCAAGATCTTGAGGTGAGTGAACCTTGGGGGACACTCCTAATTACGTATTCTCAGTACAGTTCTTTGAGCTGCCTTGCAAGTGTGCTTATGTATTTTTATGAAAGGACCCAGTGTGGTGCAGTGGATAGAGTGACTGTATTTTTATGAAAGGACCCAGATTTGGTGCAGTGGATAGAGTGATGGAGACCAGGGTTCAAAACTCTGCTTGTCCATGCAAACTCACTGGGGAAGTGGAAATGATGAAATCACTGCTTAAATGTCTCCCTTGCCTTGAAAGCCCTATTAGAGTCGCTATTAGACCGCACACTAAATGAAAGGAGTTGCAGAAATGATTAACTATCATACTGTGTTTTTTTTAAAAAAAACTTTTAAAATTCCTATCCCACTAGCAGTAGACTAATTGAAAATCATACTGCAATTCAGAAATGTGTGGCGATTACACAGGCGCTTTGAAGAATCCACTTGTCAAAATGTACCAGGTTGCGCAGTGCCTCCTGCCACTGTTTGTGACTTTTACCTGGCCGTGATTGATTTCTCTGCAGCCAGAATGAGGTGTTTGGTAGAGGATCGATATTCTAGGAACTATGATCTCTGTTGTTAGCTATAGTCACAGTGGTATGCACTTCTATAGAGAACTGGCAGGAATGGAGTGGGAAACTTAATTATTCTCCCACCTGTAGATGTTCAGCTGCAATGCCTTCCCAAGAGCTGCTTGTCCCTTCTAGGAAGGGCTCCAGTTATGTACTTTCTTTGTGGCAGGAAGAAATGACTGGGGAGGGGGCCTTCATGGAAAAGAAACAGGTGGGGAAAAGGGTCAAGGATCTCCCTGGCTGCAAATCACTGTCCTCCCCTGCTAGATTACAGCTGTTTTATGGAGATCCTAAGCCAGCTGCTGGTGAACAGGTTTGTCCAGTTCATCTTTGCACTGGTACACCCCGTGTTTCATTATACTTGGGCTTTGTGATTCGTAACACCCTATTTGCTGTTTTGCAGTTTGACATCTCGGACGTGGTTCGCACAATGCGCCTGCAGAGGCACGGCATGGTGCAAACTGAGGTACGTGCATTCATGGCATGCGGCCAATGTTTCTGCTTCTGGACTGTAGAGACTAGAGATGGGCATGAACTCTTGAACCAGCGGTTTGTACTGGTTCGTTTCTCAGCCAAACAGGTGTTCAGTGCTTCCCCGCCCAGCCTCCTCTAGTGGGCACCCATTCAGAGGCAAATGTGCAATCGCCCAGCCTCTTCTGGTGGGCACCCATTCAGAGGCAAATGTGCATATGCTGTGTGTCGTTTGATTCATTTCATCCTGGATGTAAGAATTTGTAAGAGAGTAAGAATTAGGAGGCCGTGTCGTGGTGCAGATTCAACACTTGACAACTCTGTTTCAAGAACCTCAGGTACTGTAGCAGACGTGAAACAACCCTTATTGGGGGAGGAAAACACTGAGGTGTACTGGTGAGACTGTAAACTGGACCTGGGAAATCTGGAGTCAGGTTCCCACTAAGCTAAGAAAGCCATTGGGTGGTTTTCAGCCAGTCACGTTGTCTCAGTCTGACCCACCTCACAAGGACATGGGAAGGAGAGGAGGTAATATTGCCTTGAATTCATTGGAGGAAAGGTAGGATATTAACACAAACAAATAAGTTCATGGAGAGTATTTCTAATTAGGCCAAATAAGTCATGATCTGCACAGACCTGTTTTTTCATAAGCTTAATGTACACTCAGTAGACAAGGATCTGATAACAGAAACTCAAAGTCCAGAGACATAAATAAAGATACAAATGTAGGAGTAGGTGATAGCTTTATAGATCACTAAAGAAATCATACAGTTTGCTAGCTTTCCTGAATCAGGGCCCACTTTATCAGGCTCGCACCGGCATCTTGTCATTAGTGCAAAGAACATAAAGAGACCCAAAAGTTCACAGCAGATGGATATTGCCAGGTGCTTTTCTTAAATGTAAGTTAGGGAAAGATGCAGGTTGCATTGGAGGTGTGGTTTTGAACTTATTATGGCAGAGGAAGCTGTTGACTGGATATCTGCCCCAGGGGCATCTCCCATAAAAGGGATCTCAAATAACATGGAAGGACTTCTTCCTGAGTCCTTGAAGAGGTGATACCCATTAGCTTAGAGTGTTAGATTCTACTGGGCAAGATGGACAGATATAATCTTCTTCCTTACAAGAGAGTTTTTTCACACTTCGTTTGATTTGGCACAAAAGTAACAGAACATTGAACAAATAAAACAGATCCCCTTTTTTCCTCCAAAGAAAAAAGAGAGCACTTGAAATCCACATGGGCCTGGGTTTATTGAAGCCCAATGCATTTAGAAATCCAGTCCTGCAGCGGCAATCTTAAATTAACACTGTTCTTAACTCTGAGATTCAGCTCACCTCCCAGAGAAGAAGCATCCTTTAAGATTGCCCTTCAAAAAGTTTTTTAAAAGGATGTTTCAAAAATGTGTTGAGCTTCAGTGACCATGAACACATTGTCTTCTTCTCTGTTGTGGCTTTTTCCCCCCTACACCATATTTGTGGAATTTGCCCTGCAATTCGTGCTTGTCCTGTGTTAGCTTCATCAGTGAGGAGGAGAAGGCAGGCTGGAGACCATCATAGGCCAAAATCACCACCACGTGGAGGCTGTGATTTTGGAATGCATGACCTGACATTCAGACCTTTCCAAAACCACCTTGCACGTGTGACCTGCAGGTTAATAGAAAGGATTAAGTGAAGGAAAATAGCTGAATGGAAGAAAGGAGCAAAAGTACCCAGTGTAATGTAATGGATAAAATTACAGACTATGCAGATCAGGGTTGAAAGCCCCACTTTGTCATGAAAATTCACTGGGGAAGTGGAACTGATAAAACCATTCCTTAAATATCTCGCTTACCTTAAAAGCCCTATATTAGGGTCACTATTCATCAGTTCCAACTTTATGGCACATAACTTACTAGTAAGGAGTAAAGCTGCTACTTTTTTATTAGTGGTGGATTAGAATCTCTTGACTGTTAAATGGGTTCTCTTTTTTTTCTTACAGCTGTTACGAATTTCTATTATAGATAGTTTCTTTTTAATTTCCCCCTTTTGCAGGACCAATACATCTTCTGCTATCAAGTTATCCTGTACGTCTTAAAACGTCTACAAGCAGAAGAACAGCAAAGAAACAACTGAACTCTTAAAGCTGGATATGCATTAAGAGAAAGAAATGGGAAAAGACTTTCTTGAATAATTTCGGCATATTTACACTACAGAATTTAAACTGGCGTAACCATTCATGTTGTTTCCTTCAAGGACTGGTTCTATAATACAAAGCGTAAACAAAATATTGTTAGAAACCTCATCTAACTACAATTCCCAGGTTTCTTTGTGGGAAGCCGTGACACATTTGCTCAGATAAACCAATCTGAAGTGTATAGTGTAGGTCTGACCTTAGGTTATTCTGCTGATACAATGCCATTTCCTATGTCTGTTAAATATCAGGTACAGCTGTATTACCGCCCCTACCCCCAAAAGGCCGGGGTTCTTATTTACCATTTGTATTTAATAATGCTGCATTCTTGTAGCCTTTTCAAGATATGTTACCCATCTGGCCTTCTAAAAACACCTCTATTTTTTTTAAGTATTAATGCTTCCTACAGATCCCACACACACCTCCATGGCTATATTGTAGTATATTTCTGATACTAGGGGTGGGGTGGGAAATGGAGAACAGTATTTTATCCCGGTGAACTTTCTTACAGGTAAATTTTTATTAGTCTATTTTTACAGTTTGTTTATAGCACAGCTGTAATTTTTCCAACATTTTTAATACAATAGAACTTTTTATAGAAAATACTTGAAATCAGTATTTAAGCTTTACAGAACATCATATTAGTGTAAGGAAAATAGCAAATGTTTACTGTATCACAAGTTACAATGTTTACTTTATATAGAGTTTTGTGTATATATTTATGTACTTTTACCAAAAACAAATGTTGAATTATAACTTGCCTTAAGCTTTTAACTGCTGAGGCATCTCCACAATGTAAATAAAACGACACTTTTAAAATATGAAGTGCAGCAACCCTGTCTTCTGTCCTCCTGTGTTTATTTTCTCCTCATCAGTTACTTTTCCTCTGCCACTCCAGGCATTCTGTAATATATCTGATATGGAAATACAGTGGTGCCTCGATTTACAAACATCCCGACATACAACCATTTCGAGTTACGACCAGCTCTGGCTGCAAAATTTTGCTTCGACTTGCAGCCAGACCTTCAAGTTACAATCAGAAAAAGGCAGGGAAAAAAGGCAGGGAATTCAAATTGCTAACTGTTGGTGGCGAAGAGGCTGCTTCTTTGTAGCTCTTTCACCCCAGCAGTTAGAGAGTGTGTGATCGGAGGAGGCTTCAGACTGCCTACTAAGGTAAGGTGCTGCTTCCTGCTTTTTAAAAACTGTTCTGGGTATGTTTTGCAGCATTGTTTTGGGCTGGGTGGTAGGATTATGTTTCTTTGCTGTCATGGGTCTTGCAGGGTTTGTTTGTTTTTTGGGCTTTTTTTCACAATTTCTGATGGGTCTTGCGGAGTTTGTTTGCTTTGGGGTTCCCCCCCCATTTCCGATGGGCCTTGTGGGGTTTGTTTACTTTTTGCTTTGCTTTTTTTGTATTTCCGATGGCCTTGCATGATTTGTTTGCTTTCTACTTTGCTTTTCCCCCATTTCCCATGGGTCTTGCATGGTTTGTTTGCTTTTCTTTTTCTTTTTTTCCCCTTCAGCCGGAATGGATTAATCGTGTTTCTGATGAGTCTTGTAGTGTTTGGTTTTTGGTTTTTTGGTGATTTTTTTTTCTTCAGCTGGTACAGATTAATTGCATCTCAGTGCATTCCTATGGGAAATGGTGCTTCGACTTACGACCATTTTGAGTTACGACTGGAGTTCTGGAACCAATTAAGTTCGTACGTCGAGGCACCACTGTAGACTTAAACATACAGTATTTGGAAATCCTGCAGCAAGTCACTATTGCTGTGAGATTGACAATGCTCCTTGTACAAAGGCCAAAGCTATTTCTTCCTAATTCCAAATCCTGTAAAACAATGGACTTGAGGGGAATGCAAGTACGGCCAAGCCTACAGAGAAGGAATATGCATCTTATGCCTCGTACTAAGCATCATAAGAAATCAGAAGAATCAGTTTATTGCAGGGAAGGTTGAAGTGGGAACAGCTTACAGTGGCTACTGCCTTTGAGAAAGGCTGGGTGGCTTTAAATGCAATGCACATTTTCAGAAGCAGCTACCATCTTCATCTAACGCAGAATGCAAAAAAACACTTGCAGAACAGGTTTGCAAATATAGTAGGATGCCTTATCCGTGGGACGAGTAGCTACTGATTCAATTATCCACGGTCTGAAAACATTAAAAGCGAAATCTTAGAAACAAATATTTCTGCAGATGAAGTTATTGGACCTAGCGTTCTCTGTTAAGAGTATTAACCATAATCCACATTTTTTGCAAAGGCAAAGCAGAAGAACCGATGAACAGTACATTTAAAAACATGTCCATAAGCAGAAGCAATCGCTTGCTTTCAACCCTTAGCAGCAGATCAGATGTTTGAAGACCTGTGAGAAGCGGGGGGGGGGGGG